CTCCACCTCCCTCAACGCTACGCAGCCGCGCAACCAGGGTGGTCGCAGCGGCGGCGGCGGAGGCCGTGGAGCGGGTGGCGGTGGTGGTGGTGGAGGCCGTGGTGGTGGCGGTGGTGGTAGTGGTGGCCGTGGTGGCCGTGGTGGCGGTGGTGGTGGTGCTGGCAGCGCCCCTGCTGGAGGTGCTGTGACTCGAGGCGGACGCCCTGGCACTCTCCCCCCATGCACATATGTGCGTCGCCATGGTCCCCATGCAGGTACCCCTTGCGGCCAGACCAACCATCCCCCCACCACGTGCTTTAAGGCACTCGACGACGCCTGGTTTGATCGCGGCAACACTGGCACCCCTCCTCGCTGGAACTCGGTCACACCTCGCCCCTCCTTAGTGGACATTCAAACCCTCCCCTCTTTCCTTCCTGCTCACCTCCGCCTGGTTACCCCCTCCCCACCCTCACAGCTGCAGCAGTTTCAGCAGCACCAGCAGCAGCAGCACCTGTACTTCCACCAGCAGCAGCAGCAGCCGCAGTTTCTCCAGCCCCAGCAGCCGCCGCCGCCGCAGTTCTTCCAGCCACCGCCGCAGCAGCAGCAACAGTTCCTTCCCCCACCCTGGCAGCAGCAGCCACTCACCTTCGGCACAGCGGCCATGGCCGCTCATACCTCCCTTCCTCCTCCTCCCCCCTGGGGTTCCCTCCCCTCTGCCCCCCCCAGTGTTCCCGACACTTCTGGTAGTTTCCTTGGTAATATCAGTGTTGCACCGTCCGTCGCTGCCATGTATCCCTCTGCTATCAATGAGACTTCGTTTCAGTACCCCGTCCCACCCCCTCCTCCCTCTTCTCCCACCCTGGACTTTGTCCTTGACAGTGGAGCCACTGAAACCGCACTGAAAGACGCTGGCACTCTCACCCCACTACCACTTCCCACTCAGGTTCATGGGGCTGATTCCAGCTTTTCCATTCCATGCACTCACCTCTCCACCCTCCCTTGCACTGCCTTCCCCTCCGGTAAGGTCACAGGTCTCCACATCCCCACTCTCCGCAACAACCTCCTCTCCCACCGTGAGCTCCAAGGTGTTGGTATCACTGCCATTTACCCCGGTTATGCCAATTACTGTGATCTCTACCAAACCTCCTCCGGTCGCTTCCTTCTCCGCATTCCGCTTTGCCCCCGCACTCGCCTCTACACACTCCGCACGCCTCGCCCATCCTTCTGCCACGTCACCACTCGTTCCGGTGCTTCCACCGGTCCACCTCCTCCTCCTTTACTTCCCCCTTCCCCTCCCCCTCAAGTATCCTCTTCTCCCTCCCCACCATCCTCCTCCTCCCCTCCCGTTCCTTCCATCACCCCATCTCCCTCCTCCTCCACTACCCTCTCCCACCCTGCTGTCCTCTTACACCACAGACTCGGCCATCCCAACTTCACCGCCCTTCGCACCACAGTCACCTCTCGCCTCCTCCGCAGCCTTCCTCCTGTTTTACCTCCCCTCCCCTCCTCCCCCTCTCCCCCATGCCCTTCATGCATTCACGGCAAGCTCAAACAGTCCCCCCACCACAGTCATCCCACCTTCGCCGCCGCCCCCATTGACCTTGTGCACATGGACCTCTGGGGCCCCTATCCCATCCGCTCCCGCCAGGGGCATCGGTACATGCTCGTCCTCGTTGACGACCACAGCCGGTACTCCACCACCTTCTTCCTTCACACGAAAGACCAGGTGCCGGCAGTGGTCATCAACTGGGCCGAACAGTGCCGCAATCACTTCAAACGCCCCATCGGCCGCCTTCACTCTGACGGTGGGGGTGAGTTCATCAATAACACCCTTGCCACATACTGCAACACCTACGGCATCCAACAGACCTCCACCCTTCCCCACTCCCCTCAGCAGAACGGCATTGCTGAGAGCCGCATTCGTGAGATCACCAAGATAGCTCGCTGTCTCATTGCTCATGCCTCCACCCCTCCTTCCCTCTGGAGCTATGCCCTCCTCCACGCCGCTCTTCTCCTTAATCTCCGCTCCCACCCTCAGCATCCTTCCTCCTCCCCTACAGAGCTTTGGTCCAACGCCAAACCCGACGCTGCCGGCCTTCGCGTTTGGGGCTGCAAGGCCTTCGTTCTCATCCCACCCGCCGACCGCTCCCGCGCCGCTGGCAAGCTTGCTCCTCGCGCCCTGGAATGCGTTTACCTTGGGCACAATCGCGACTCCCCAGGCTACCTCTTCCTCCACCCTCCCACCAATCGCCTCATCCGCAGCGGCGACGTCGTCTTCGACGAATCCGTCCCCTATTACTCCACTCCTCCCCCTGATCCTCTCCCTCCTCCCACTCGTCCCCTTGCTTGGACCGACACCGTCCTCCCGCCCCTTCTCCCTCCAGCCCCTCTCCTCCCACCCGTCGCAGCTCCGCTCCCGCCCTCCTCCTCCGCCGATGTCTACGACCCTGCCGCACCCGCTTCCCCCGCTCACTCGGCCGCACCCCCTCCCGCCCCTCCCTCCTCCTCTCCCTCTCCCTCCTTCCAGCAGCCGGATCAGCAGCAGCAGCAGCAGCAGCAGCCGCAGCAGCAACAGCAGCAGCAGCAGCAGCCGGGACAGCAGCCGGGGCAGCAGCAGCAGCAGCAGCCGGGCCAGCAGCAGCAGCAGCAGCAGCAGCAGCGGCAGCCGGGACAGCAGCAGCAGCAGCAGCAGCAGCAGCAGCGGCAGCAGCAGCAGCAGCAGCCTCAGCAGCCTCAGCAGCCGCAGCACCAGCACGGTCAGCCGCAGCCGTAGCAACAAGGGCAGCAGCTTCCGCAGCACCAGCAGCAGCAGCGGCGTCGTGCCACTTCCCGTTCCTCCCCCTTCCTCCTCCCTTACATCCATACCCGCTCTGTGGACAAAATCCTTGGGGCTCCTCCTCCTGCCTCCATTCAGCTCCTTGAGGACTCCCATGAGGAGTTTCTTAACATTCGGGAGCACACTCCATTCCTTGCCGCCCTCTACCTTGACTTCCTGGGCTTTCCTGTCCTTGGCGCCACTACTACCCCCACCATCTTCACTCCCTCCACCTTCCAGGAAGCCATCACCTGCCCTGATGCGGATAAATGGATAGCAGCGATCTTCCTGGACTGTGAGGCTTTCATTCGCAACGACTCCTTTGTCGATGTCCCCCTCCCTGCTGGCGCTAATCTCGTTGACGGCAAATGGGTCTTTCGGGTGAAGCAGCTGCCGGGCGAGGAACCAGTGTACAAGGCCCGCTACTGCGCCAAGGGGTTCACGCAGACTTGGGCTGAGGACTACTGGTTCACCTACGCCCCCACCGCCAAACCACCCACCCTTCGCGCCGCCATGGACATTGGTGCACGTGACGACATGGAAATCGACTCCATGGACGTCTCCAATGCGTTCCTGCAGGGCGACCTGCATGAGCGCATTTTCCTCCGGCGACCCCCCGGGTTCCACGCAGCCTTTCCTGAGAACACTGTCTGGCAGCTGCGTCGCCCCGTCTACGGCTTGAAGCAGGCACCGCGTGAGTGGCATGCGAAGCTGGCTGCCACCTTGGGGTCCCTCGGCTTCTCTGCTTCCCACTCCGACGCCAGCCTCTTCATCCGCTCCTCCCCCCGCCGCTTCTTCATTCTGGTATATGTCGACGACATGATCCTGCTCTCTGACACCAAGGCCGACATGGGGCAGGTGAAGCTGTCCCTGCAGCAGCGGCTCAAGTGCAAAGACCTTGGCGCCCTCACTCACTACCTCGGCATGACCATCACGCGCAACCGCCCTGCTCGCACAATCACCCTCTCCCAGTCCCATTACATCGGCCAGGTCTTGGAGAAGTTCGACATGGCGCAAGCCAAGCCTGTTTCCACCCCGCTCCCCTTCGGTCACCAACTTGCTCCACCCACCTCCCCCACCTCCTCCCCCCACCCCTATGCCGAGCTCGTTGGGTCCTTGATGTACGCAATGATGTGCACCCGCCCCGACCTCGCCTACCCCATCAGCGTGCTCGCTCGCTTTGTCGGCACCGGTCGTCACTCTGAGGAGCACTGGAAAGCTGCCAAGCGGGTCCTCCGCTACCTTCGCGGGACCAGGGACCTTGCCCTCACCCTCGGCGGCCCTTCCCGTCCCCTTCTCTCGGGCTTCAGTGACTCCTCATGGGCTGACACGCAGCCGGACCGCCGCTCCTCCCAGGGCTACGGCTTCACCCTTGGCAGCGGCCTCATCAGCTGGCGCTCCACCCGCTCCTCCGCCATCTCTCTCTCCACCTGCGAAGCCGAGCTCTACGCTGGCACCATGGCCGCCCAGGAGTCGCGCTGGCTCTGCTTCCTTCTTGCGGAGCTTGGCGCCCCCCAGACGTGCCCCACTCTCTGGTGCGACAACGCCAGCACCATCCATCTCACTCAGGACCCCGTCTATCACGCCCGCTCCAAGCACATCGAACTCCGCTACTTCTTCGTTCGCGAGCTCGTCCAGAAGGGCCTCATTGCCGTTCGCAAGATTGCAACCGAGGCCAACTTGGCCGACATCTTCACTAAGGCCCTCCTTCGCCCCGCGCACTCTGCCTTCCTCCGCCTCATTGGCCTCGCTCGCCCGGGCGCCCCTTGATTCAGGGGTTGTTCTCTTCTTGTGTTAGCATGCTAAGGGGTTGTGTTAAAATATATATTGTGTAGCATGCCAACACATGTGACTGTACACCAATTGTGGTGTACAGTTGGGTTGGGACTACACCCAACTTTGGGTGTAGTCTTGCACTTTGGGGTGCCAATCCACCCAATTGTGGTGGAGCCCCCAAATGCAACCCTCTTGACTTGTGGGTACCTCACTTCCCACAATTGAGGTTACCCCAAGCCAAGTGGGCCTAGGGTTGCCTCACTTCTACAAAGTGTGGGCAACCCAACCCACTTGACCTATGGTTCCCTCACTTCCCCAAGTGAGGTCAACCCAACCTATGGTCACTTTCATCCTTCCCTTCCAACCTTCCCTTCCAACTATGTATGCTAGGTTGTTCCTCTAATCTAATTACTTGTTCAATTCACAATCTTCACACACCCTTTTCACGCACCTTGATGCGCTCTGACAGCCACAGCCCCACATCCAGCAGCAATGCATTCCCCGACTTGTCCGTCCCCGCCCCGCCCGGCAAGCTCTGCGCCACGAGGCTCTGCCCCGCGCTCTCTCATGCCCAGGCTCTGACGCGCACACATGCACACCAGCACACGGACAACACCACTCTCACCTTGATGCGCTCTGACAGCCACAGCCCCACGTCCAGAAGCAGAGCATTCCCCGACTTGTCCGTGCCCGCCCCGCCCGGCTCTTCCCCGGCACCCTCTGCCCCCACCAGGGTCACACCTTAACACACCACAACCACTCCCACCTTGATGCGCTCTGACAGCCACAGCCCCACGTCCAGAAGCAGAGCATTCCCCGACTTGTCCGTGGCCGCCCCGCCCGGCTCTTCCCCGGCACCCTCTGCCCCCATCAGGGTCACACCTTAACACACCACAACCACTCCCACCTTGATGCGCTCTGACAGCCACAGCCCCACGTCCAGAAGCAGTGCGTTCCCCGACTTGTCCGTCCCCGCCCCTCCCGGCAAGCTCCGAGCCACGAGGCTCTGCCCCGCGCCCTCAGCCACGACAATAACGCAGTGGTCGTTCTCGTAGAGCTTGCGCTCCATGAACTCAAACAGGCCGCCCTCGCCCTCCAAGTGAAAAGGGACCTCTGGAATGAGACAGCAGTCCTGGGGTGTGGGGGGAAGAGGGGGAGGGGCGGAAAAGATGAGACAGCAGTCCTGGTAGATCAGGGGGAGGTGGGGGGCAAAGGGGGGAATAGGAGGGGAGCAGTGGTCGTTCTCATACAGCTTCCGCTCCATGAACTGATGGGGAAACTGATGGAGAACCTGATGGGGAACCTGATGGGGAACCTGATGGGGAACCTGATGGGGAGCCTGATGGGGAACCTGATGGGGAACGTGATGGGGAACCTGATGGGGAACCTGATGGGGAACCTGATGGGGAACCTGATGGGGAACCTGATGGGGTGGGGAACCTGATGGGGAACCTGATCGGGTGGGGAAACTGATGGGGAACCTGATGGGGTGGGGAACCTGATGGGGAACCTGATGGGGTGGGGAACCTGATGGGGAACCTGATGGGGAACCTGATGGGGAACCTGATGGGGAACCTGATGGGGAACCTGATGGGGAACCTGATGGGGAACCTGATGGGGTGGGGAACCTGATGGGGAACCTGATGGGGTGGGGAAACTGATGGGGAACCGGATGGGGAACCTGATGGGGAACCTGATGGGGAACCTGATGGGGAACCTGATGGGGAACCTGATGGGGAACCTGATGGGGAACCTGATGGGGTGGGGAACCTGATGGGGAACCTGATGGGGTGGGGAACCTTATGGGGAACCTGATGGGGAACCTGATGGGGAACCTGATGGGGAAACTGATGGGGAACCTGATGGGGTGGGGAAACTGATGGGGAAACTGATGGGGAACCTGATGGGGTGAGGAACCTGATGGGGAACCTGATGGGGAACCTGATGGGGAACCTGATGGGGAACCTGATGGGGTGGGGAACCTGATGGGGAACCTGATGGGGTGGGGAAACTGATGGGGAACCTGATGGGGTGGGGAAACTTATGGGGAACCTGATGGGGTGGGGAACCTGATGGGGAACCTGATGGGGAACCTGATGGGGAACCTGATGGGGTGGGGAAACTGATGGGGAACCTGATGGGGTGGGGAACCTGATGGGGTGGGGAACCTGATGGGGAACCTGATGGGGAACCTGATGGGGAACCTGATGGGGAACCTGATGGGGAACCTGATGGGGAACCTGATGGGGAACCTGATGGGGAACCTGATGGGGAACCTGATGGGGAACCTGATGGGGTGGGGAAACTGATGGGGAACCTGATGGGGTGGGGAAACTGATGGGGAACCTGATGGGGTGGGGAAACTGATGGGGAACCTGATGGGGTGGGGAACCTGATGGGGAACCTGATGGGGAACCTGATGGGGAACCTGATGGGGAACCTGATGGGGAACCTGATGGGGAACCTGATGGGGAACCTGATGGGGTGGGGAACCTGATGGGGAACCTGCCTGATGGGGTGGGGAACCTGATGGGGAACCTGATGGGGAACCTGATGGGGAAACTGATGGGGAACCTGATGGGGTGGGGAAACTGATAAGGAACCTGATGGGGTGGGGAACCTGATGGGGAACCTGATGGGGTGGGGAACCTGATGGGGAACCTGATGGGGAACCTGATGGGGAACCTGATGGGGAACCTGATGGGGAACCTGATGGGGAACCTGATGGGGAACCTGATGGGGTGGGGAACCTGATGGGGAACCTGATGGGGTGGGGAAACTGATGGGGAACCTGATGGGGTGGGGAACCTGATGGGGAACCTGATGGGGAACCTGATGGGGAACCTGATGGGGAACCTGACGGGGTGGGGAACCTGATGGGGAACCTGATGGGGAACCTGATGGGGAACCTGATGGGGAACCTGATGGGGAACCTGATGGGGAACCTGATGGGGAACGGGGTGGGGAACCTGATGGGGAACCTGATGGGGTGGGGAACCTGATGGGGAACCTGATGGGGAACCTGATGGGGTGGGGAAACTGATGGGGAACCTGATGGGGTGGGGAACCTGATGGGGAAGGGAACCTGATGGGGAAACTGATGGGGAAACTGATGGGGAAACTGATGGGTAACCTGACGGGGAAACAGGTGGGGAAACTGATGGGGGAACTGATGGGGGGAACTGATGGGGGGAACTCATGGGCGGAACTAAGTAAGTGGGGGCGATAGGTGGGGGCGCTAAGTAAGTGGGGGCGCTAAGCGTGGGCGTTAAGTGGGGGCGCTAAGTGGGGGCGCCTAGTGGGGGCGATAAGTGGGGGCGATAAGTGGGAGGAGAGGGGGAGGAGAGGGGGAGGAGAGGGGGACGAAAGGGGGTTTGAGGGGAGGAGATGGGGTCCCCTCAAGTCAAGCCTTTCCGGTCTGTTGTCCCTAGTCTAGTGCCTGCCACCCCCTTCCGCCCGCATGAGCCCTCCCACCGTTTCCCTCTCCCCACCCCTTCCTTCTCACCACGTCACGGCTCGCAAGAGTGGCGTGCATGGCGATTTGAGTCGACTTAAAAGCACACCCAACCCCTCCTGCCCCTCCCCTCGTCCCCCCCGTTCCCCCCCCTCTCCCCGCCCCTTCCTTCTTACCACGTCGCGGCTGGCAAGAGTGGCGTGCATGGCGATTTGACCTGATATAAGGGTGGGCGGAGAGGGGTAGGGTGGGGTGGTGTGGGGCAGGGTGGGGTGGGGTGGAGTGGGGCGGGGTGGGGTGGGGCGGGTTGGAGTGGGAGTGGGGTTGGGAGTGTGAGTGGGAGTGAGAATGCGAGAGAGAGATAGAAAGTGGGAATGGGAATATGAGTGCGGGTGGGAGTGAAAATGGCAGTGGGAGGGAGTGGGAGTGGGAGCAGGAGCGGTAATGGGGACAGAAGTGGGAACGGGAGACCGGGATCAGGGTGTGATGGAGAACGGAGCAGATGATACGAGCCAAATGCAGCAAGGCATGACAACCAACCATCCCATCACAGAGGTGACGCCATGCAGCCACATCCCGTCAACCATCACTTCAGTACCATCCCATCCCACCACCCTCCCACTCACCGCAGTATCTGCCCATGAGCTTCACCAGCCCCACCCCCCGGTGAGTGCTCGTGACCTCCACCCTGGCAGCGCTGATGGCCCGCTGAGCCTCCTCCACAGCCGAGTCAAACCCAAACGACCGGTCGATCACATCACAGCGGCGTGTGCTGGCCTCTCCACTTCCCACCAACCACCTCCTCCACCTTCCAAGGCGCGCCACCAACAACAGTGTCTCCCCCTCTACAACCCATCACTCACCGCAGTATCGCCCCATCAGCTTCACCAGCCCCACGCCCCGGTGAGTGCTCGTGACCTCCACCCTGGCAGCGCTGATGGCCCGCTGAGCCTCCTCCACAGCGGAGTCGAACCCAAACGACCGGTCGATCACTGCGATGTCGTTGTCTATTGTTTTAGGAATTCCCGCTACGGACACTTTGAGTCCCCGCCGCCTTGTTTCCTGCCAGGGTCAAGGAGGTGAAGAAGAAGGGAATGCTGATGGCCCTCTGAGCCTCCTCCACAGCCGAGTCAAACCCGAACGACCGGCCGGTCACTGCACTGATGGTGAAGTGTATTGTTTTAGGGATCCCCGCACCGCAACTGACATCTTGAGTCCTCTCCGCCTCGTTTCCTGCAAAAAGAAAAGGGGTGGTGTTTGAGGCAGAGCACGGAAAGGCAAAGGGCTGCCACAGAGTCGAACCCAATCAATCGATCACCGCATTGTCAACGTCTCACGCACCTCATACCACCCATTCCAGCCATGCTTCCCACGCCCAATGTCTCACGCACCTCATAGATGATCTCTGCGCCACGCTGCGTGCCATCCCCCCCGATGATGTACAGCTGGCACGGAGGGGAGGGGGCACGGTGGGGGGAAGGAAGCGGAAGAGAGGGGGTTATGAGGGGAAAGAGAAGTGCTTTCAAGGTACCAAACACACTGCATGCCATCCCCCCCTATGATACCGCCCACTGCCCACTTGTGGCATCACCTCACTCACCTGGTTGATGCCGCACCGCACCGCACCGCACCACACCTGGTTGATGCCTCACCGCACCGCACCGCACCTGGTTGATGCCACACCGCACCTGGTTGATGCCGCGGTCTTCAATGGAGTTGACGATCTTGGTGGAGTCATGCCCTGCCCGCCTTACCTCTTTTATATACCTCACCCCACGGGCCACACCACACCTGGTTGACCACACAGCACACACACCACACTTCACCTGCTTGATTCCTCACCACACATCAACTCACCTGGTTACCACCTCACCTGGTTGATGCCACACCTGGTTGATGCCTCACCGCACCGCACCGCACCGCACCTGGTTGATGCCACACCGCACCGCACCGCACCTGGTTGATGCCTCACCGCACCGCACCTGGTTGATGCCTCACCGCACCGCACCGCACCTGGTTGATGCCACACCGCACCGCACCGCACCGCACCGCACCGCACCTGGTTGATGCCGCGGTCTTCAATGGAGTTGACGATCTTGGTGGAGTCGTGCCCGCCTCGGGAAGTACCCAGGAAGGTTCCTCCGCGCTTGTGAATGTCGTTCACCTTCCACGGGTCCAGCTGCAGCAGGTTGCGGCTGTAGAACCCGCGGTAGCCGCCCTGGTAGGAGGTAGAGAGGTGGAGGAAGGAGGTGTAAGGAAAGGAGGTGGCGGACCAAGGCGCGCGCCCGGACCAAGGCGCGCGCCCGGACCAACGCGCGCGCCCGGACCAAGGCGCGCGCGCCCGGACCAAGGCGCGCGCGCCCGGACCAAGGTGCGCGCGCCCGGACCAAGGCGCGCGCCCGGACCAAGGCGCGCGCGCCCGGACCAAGGCGCGCGCCCGGACCAAGGCGCGCGCCCGGACCAAGGCGCGCGCGCCCGGACCAAGGCGCGCGCGCCCGGACCAAGGCGCGCGCGCCCGGACCAAGGGGCGCGCGCCCGGACCAAGGGGGGCGCGCCCGGACCAAGGCGCGCGCCCGGACCAAGGCGCGCGGGCCCGGACCAAGGCGCGCGCGCCCGGACCAAGGCGCGCGCGCCCGGACCAAGGCGCGCGCGCCCGGACCAAGGCGCGCGCGCGGACCAAGGCGCGCGCGCCCGGACCAAGGCGCGCGCGCCCGGACCAAGGGGGGCGCGCCCGGACCAAGGCGCGCGCCCGGACCAAGGCGCGCGCCCGGACCAAGGCGCGCGGGCCCGGACCAAGGCGCGCGCGCCCGGACCAAGGCGCGCGCGCCCGGACCAAGGCGCGCGCGCCCGGACCAAGGCGCGCGCGCGGACCAAGGCGCGCGCGCCCGGACCAAGGCGCGCGCGCCCGGACCAAGGCGCGCGCGCCCGGACCAAGGCGCGCGCGCCCGGACAAAGGCGCGCGCGCGGACCAAGGCGCGCGCGCGGACCAAGGCGCGCGCGCGGACCAAGGCGCGCGCGCCCGGACCAAGGCGCGCGCGCGGACCAAGGCGCGCGCGCCCGGACCAAGGCGCGCGCCCGGACCAAGGCGCGCGCGCCCGAACCAAGGCGCGCGCGCCCGGACCAAGGCGCGCGCGCGCGGACCAAGGCGCGCCCGCCCGGACCAAGGCGCGCGCGCGCGGACCAAGGCGCGCCCGCCCGGACCAAGGCGCGCGCGGCCCGGACCAAGGCGCGCGCGCCCGGACCAAGGCGCGCGCGCCCGGACCAAGGCGCGCGCGCCCGGACCAAGGCGCGCGCGCCCGGACCAAGGCGCGCGCGCCCGGACCAAGGCGCGCGCGCCCGGACCAAGGCGCGCGCGCCCGGACCAAGGCGCGCGCGCCCGGACCAAGGCGCGCGCGCCCGGACCAAGGCGCGCGCACCCGGACCAAGGCGCGCGCGCGGACCAAGGCGGGCCCGCCCGGGACCAAGGCTGCGCGCGCCCGGACCAAGGCGCGCGCCCGGACCAAGGCGCGCGCGCCCGGACCAAGGCGCGCGCCCGGACCAAGGCGCGCGCGCCCGGACCAAGGCGCGCCCGGACCAAGGCGCGCGCGCCCGGACCAAGGGGCGCGCGCCCGGACCAAGAGGCGCGCGCCCGGACCAAGGCGCGCGCCCGGACCAAGGCGCGCGCCCGGACCAAGGCGCGCGCGCCCGGACCAAGGCGCGCGCCCGGACCAAGGCGCGTGCGCCCGGACCAAGGCGCGCGCCCGGACCAAGGCGCGCGCCCGGACCAAGGCGCGCGCGCCCGGACCAAGGCGCACCCGGACCAAGGCGCGCGCGCCCGGACCAAGGCGCGCGCGCCCGGACCAAGGGGCGCGCGCCCGGACCAAGGGGCGCGCGCCCGGACCAAGGCGCGCGCCCGGACCAAGGCGCGCGCCCGGACCAAGGCGCGCGCGCCCGGACCAAGGCGCGCGCGCCCGGACCAAGGCGCGCGCGCCCGGACCAAGGCGCGCGCGCCCGGACCAAGGCGCGCGCGCCCGGATCAAGGCGCGCGCGCCCGGACCAAGGCGCACGCTCCCGGACCAAGGCGCGCGCGCCCGGACCAAGGCGAGCGCCCGGACCAAGGCACGCGCGCCCGGACCAAGGCGCGCGCGCCCGGACCAAGGCGCGCGCGCCCGGATCAAGGCGCGCGCGCCCGGACCAAGGCGCGCGCTCCCGGACCAACGCGCGCGCGCCCGGACCAAGGCGAGCGCCCGGACCAAGGCGCGCGCGCCCGGACCAAGGCGCGCGCGCCCGGACCAAGGCGCGCGCGCCCGGACCAAGGCGCGCACCCGGACCAAGGCGCGCGCGCCCGGACCAAGGCGCGGGCGCCCGGACCAAGGCGCGCGCGCCCGGACCAAGGCGCGCGCCCGGACCACGGCGCCCGCGCCCGGACCAAGGCGCGCGCGCCCGGACCAAGGCGCGTGCGCGCGGACCAAGGCGCGCGCGCCCGGACCAAGGCGCGCGCGCCCGGACCAAGGCGCGCGCGCCCGGACCAAGGCGCGCGCCCGGACCAAGGCGCGCGCCCGGACCAAGGCGCGCGCGCCCGGACCAAGGCGCGCGCCCGGACCAAGGCGCGCGCGCCCGGACCAAGGCGCGCGCGCGCGGACCAAGGCGCGCGCGCCCGGACCAAGGCGCGCGCGCCCGGACCAAGGCTCGCGCGCCCGGACCAAAGCGCGCACCCGGACCAACGCGCGCGCCCGGACCAAGGCGCGCGCGCCCGGACCAAGGCGCGCGCCCGGACCACGGCGCCCGCGCCCGGACCAAGGCGCGCGCGCCCGGACCAAGGCGCACGCGCCCGGACCAAGGCGCGCCCACCCGGACAAAGGCGCGCGCGCCCGGACCAAGGCGCGCGCGCGGACCAAGGCGCGCCCACCCGGACCAAGGTGCGCGCGCCCGGACCAAGGCGCGCGCCCGGACCAACGCGCGCGCCTGGACCAAGGCGCGCGCGCCCGGACCAAGGTGCGCGCCCGGACCACGGCGCCCGCGCCCGGACCAAGGCGCGCGCGCCTGGACCAAGGCGCGTGCGCGCGGACCAAGGCGCGCGCGCGCGGACCAAGGCGCGCGCGCCCGGACCAAGGCGCGCGCGCCCGGACCAAGGCGCGCGCCCGGACCAAGGCGCGCGCCCGGACCAAGGCGCGCGCGCCCGGACCAAGGCGCGCGCGCCCGGACCAAGGCGCGCGCGCCCGGACCAAGGCGCGCGCGCCCGGACCAAGGCGCGCGCGCCCGGACCAAGGCGCGCGCGCCCGAACCAAGGCGCACGCGCCCGGACCAACGCGCGCGCCCGGACCAAGGCGCGCGCGCGCGGACCAAGGCGTGCGCCCGGACCACGGCGCCCGCGCCCGGACCAAGGCGCGCGCGCCGGGACCAAGGCGCGCGCGCCCGGACCAAGGCGCGCGCGCCCGGACCAAGGCGCGCGCGCCCGGACCAAGGCGCGCGCGCCTGGACCAAGGCGCGCGCGCCCGGACCAAGGCGCGCGCACCCGGACCAAGGCCGCGCGCGAGGGACCAAGGCGGGCCCGCCCGGACCAAGGCGCGCGCGCCCGGACCAAGGCGCGCGCCCGGACCAAGGCGCGCGCGCCCGGACCAAGGCACGCCCGGACCAAGGCGCGCGCGCCCGGATCAAGGCGCGCGCCCGGACCAAGGCGCGCGCTCCCGGACCAAGGCGCGCGCGCCCGGACCCAGGCGCGCGCCCGGACCAAGGCGCGCGCGCCCGGACCAAGGCGCGTGCCCGGACCAAGGCGCGTGCCCGGACCAAGGCGCGTGCCCGGACCAAGGCGCGCGCCCGGACCAAGGCGCGCGCGCCCGGACCAAGGCGCGCGCGCCCGGACCAAGGCGCGCGCCCGGACCAACGCGCGCGCCCGGACCAAGGCGCGCGCGCGCGGACCAAGGCGCGCGCGCCCAGACCAAGGCGCGCGCGCCCGGACCAAGGCGCGCGCGCCCGGACCAAGGCGCGCGCACCCGGACCAAGGCGCGCGCACCCGGACCAAGGCGCGCGCGCGGACCAAGGCGGGCCCGCCCGGACCAAGGCGCGCGCGCCCGGACCAAGGCGCGCGCGCCCGGACCAAGGCGCGCCCGGACCAAGGCGCGCGCGCCCGGATTAAGGCGCGCGCGCCCGGACCAAGGCGCGCGCTCCCGGACCAAGGCACGCGCGCCCGGACAAAGGCGCGCGCCCGGACCAAGGCGCGCGCGCCCGGACCAAGGCGCGCGCGCCCGGACCAAGGCGCGCACCCGGACCAAGGCGCGCGCGCCCGGACCAAGGCGCGCGCGCCCGGACCAAGGCGCGCGCGCCCGGACCAAGGCGCGCGCGCCCGGACCAACACGCCCGCCCGGACCAAGGCGCGCGCGCCCGGACCAAGGCGCGCGCCCGGACCACGGCGCGCGCGCCCGGACCAAGGCGCGCGCGCCCGGACCAAGGCGCGCGCGCCCGGACCAAGGCGCGCGCGCCCGGACCAAGGCGCGCGCGCCGGACCAAGGCGCGCGCGCCCGGACCAAGGCGCGCGCCCGGACCACGGCGCTCGCGCCCGGACCAAGGCGCGCGCGCCCGGACCAAGGCGCGCGCGCCCGGACCAAGGCGCGCGCGCCCGGACCAAGGCGCGCGCGCCCGGACCAAGGCGCGCGCGCCCGGACCAAGGCGCGCGCCCGGACCACGGCGCTCGCGCCCGGACCAAGGCGCGCGCGCCCGGACCAAGGCGCGCGCGCCCGGACCAAGGCGCGCGCCCGGACCAAGGCGCGCGCCCGGACCAAGGCGCGCGCGCCCGGACCAAGGCGCGCGCCCGGACCACGGCGCCCGCGCCCGGACCAAGGCGCGCGCGCCCGGACCAAGGCGCGCGCCCGGACCAACGCGCGCGCCCAGACCAAGGCGCGCGCGCCCGGACCAAGGCGCGCGCGCCCGGACCAAGGCGCGCGCGCCCGGACCAAGGCGCGCGCGCCCGGACCAAGGCGCGCGCGCCCGGACAAAGGCGCGCGCGCCCGGACCAAGGCGCGCGCGCGGACCAAGGCGCTCCCACCCGGACCAAGGCGCGCGCCCGGACCAAGGCGCGCGCGCCCGGACCAAGGCGCGCGCGCCCGGACCAAGGCGGGCGCCCGGACCACGGCGCCCGCGCCCGGACCACGGCGCCCGCGCCCGGACCAAGGCGCGCGCGCCCGGACCAAGGCGCGCGCCCGGACCACGGCGCGCGCGCCCGGATCAAGGCGCGCGCGCTCGGACCAAGGCGCGCGCGCCCGGACCAAGGCGCGCGCGCCCGGACCACGGCGCTCGCGCCCGGACCAAGGCGCGCGCGCCCGGACCAAGGCGCGCGCGCCCGGACCAAGGCGCGCGCGCCCGGACCAAGGCGCGCGCGCAGACCAAGGCGCGCGCGCCCGGACCAAGGCGCGCGCGCCCGGACCAAGGCGCGCGCGCCCGGACTAAGGCGCGCGCCCGGACCAAGGCGCGCGCCCGGACCAAGGCGCGCGCGCCCGGACCAAGGCCCCACGCGCCCGGACCAAGGCGCGCGCGCCCGGACCAAGGCTTGCGCCCGGACCAAGGCGCGCGCCCGGACCAAGGCGCGCGCCCGGACCAAGGCGCGCGCGCCCGGACCAAGGCGCGCGCGCCCGGACCAAGGCGCGCGCCCGGACCAAGGCGCGCGCGCGGACCAAGGCGCACGCGCGGACCAAGGCGCGCGCCCGGACCAACGCGCGCGCCCGGACCAAGGCGCGCGCGCGGACCAAGGCGCGCGCCCGGACCAAGGCGCGCGCCCGGACCTAGGCGCGCGCCCGGACCAAGGCGCGCGCGCGGACCAAGGCGCGTGCGCCCGGACCAAGGCGCGCGCCCGGACTAAGGCGCGCGCCCGGACCAAGGCGCGCGCGCGGACCAAGGCGCGCGCGCGGACCAAGGCGCGCGCGCGGACCAAGGCGCGCGCGCGGACCAAGGCGCGCGCGCGGACCAACGCGCGCGCCCGGACCAACACGCGCGCGCGGACCAAGGCGCGCGCCCGGACCAAGGCGCGCGCCCGGACCAAGGCGCGCGCGCCCGTACCTGCGCGCGCGCGCGGACCAAGGCGCGCGCACGCGGACCAAGATGCGCGCCTGGAGCAAGGTGCTCGCGTGGAGCAAGGCGCTCGCGTGGACCAACGCGCGCGCGCGACCAAGGCGCGCGCCCGGACCGGCGCGCGCGCGCGGACCAAGGCGCGCGCCCGGACCAAGGCGCGCGCCCGGACCAAGGCGCGCACGCCTGAACCAAGGCGCGCGCCCGGACCAAGGCGCGCGCGCGGACCAAGGCGCGCGCGCCCGGACCAAGGCGCGCGCGCCCGGACCAAGGCGCGCGCGCCTGGACCAAGGCGCGCGCGCCCGGACCAAGGCGCGCGCACCCGGACCAAGGCGCGCGCGCGGACCAAGGCGGGCCCGCCCGGACCAAGGCGCGCGCGCCCGGACCAAGGCGCGCGCCCGGACCAAGGCGCGCGCGCCCGGACCAAGGCACGCCCGGACCAAGGCGCGCGCGCTCGGATCAAGGCGCGCGCCCGGATCAAGGCGCGCGCTCCCGGACCAAGGCGCGCGCGCCCGGACCCAGGCGCGCGCCCGGACCAAGGCGCGCGCGCCCGGACCAAGGCGCGTGCCCGGACCAAGGCGCGTGCCCGGACCAAGGCGCGTGCCCGGACCAAGGCGCGCGCCCGGACCAAGGCGCGCGCGCCCGGACCAAGGCGCGCGCCCGGACCAACGCGCGCGCCCGGACCAAGGCGCGCGCGCGCGGACCAAGGCGCGCGCGCCCAGACCAAGGCGCGCGCGCCCGGACCAAGGCGCGCGCGCCCGGACCAAGGCGCGCGCACCCGGACCAAGGCGCGCGCACCCGGACCAAGGCGCGCGCGCGGACCAAGGCGGGCCCGCCCGGACCAAGGCGCGCGCGCCCGGACCAAGGCGCGCCCGGACCAAGGCGCGCCCGGACCAAGGCGCGCGCTCCCGGGCGCGCGCGCCCGGACCAAGGCGCGCGCTCCCGGACCAAGGCACGCGCGCCCGGACAAAGGCGCGCGCCCGGACCAAGGCGCGCGCGCCCGGACCAAGGCGCGCGCGCCCGGACCAAGGCGCGCACCCGGACCAAGGCGCGCGCGCCCGGACCAAGGCGCGCGCGCCCGGACCAAGGCGCGCGCGCCCGGACCAAGGCGCGCGCGCCCGGACCAACACGCCCGCCCGGACCAAGGCGCGCGCGCCCGGACCAAGGCGCGCGCCCGGACCACGGCGCGCGCGCCCGGACCAAGGCGCGCGCGCCCGGACCAAGGCGCGCGCGCCCGGACCAAGGCGCGCGCGCCCGGACCAAGGCGCGCGCGCCCGGACCAAGGCGCGCGCGCCCGGACCAAGGCGCGCGCCCGGACCACGGCGCTCGCGCCCGGACCAAGGCGCGCGCGCCCGGACCAAGGCGCGCGCGCCCGGACCAAGGCGCGCGCCCGGACCAAGGCGCGCGCCCGGACCAAGGCGCGCGCGCCCGGACCAAGGCGCGCGCCCGGACCACGGCGCCCGCGCCCGGACCAAGGCGCGCGCGCCCGGACCAAGGCGCGCGCCCGGACCAACGCGCGCGCCCAGACCAAGGCGCGCGCGCCCGGACCAAGGCGCGCGCGCCCGGACCAAGGCGCGCGCGCCCGGACCAAGGCGCGCGCGCCCGGACCAAGGCGCGCGCGCCCGGACAAAGGCGCGCGCGCCCGGACCAAGGCGCGCGCGCGGACCAAGGCGCTCCCACCCGGACCAAGGCGCGCGCCCGGACCAAGGCGCGCGCGCCCGGACCAAGGCGCGCGCCCGGACCAAGGCGCGCGCGCCCGGACCAAGGCGCGCGCGCCCGGACCAAGGCGCGCGCGCCCGGACCAAGGCGCGCGCGCCCGGACCAAGGCGCGCGCGCCCGGACCAAGGCGCGTGCGCCCGGACCAAGGCGGGCGCCCGGACCACGGCGCCCGCGCCCGGACCACGGCGCCCGCGCCCGGACCAAGGCGCGCGCGCCCGGACCAAGGCGCGCGCCCGGACCACGGCGCGCGCGCCCGGATCAAGGCGCGCGCGCTCGGACCAAGGCGCGCGCGCCCGGACCAAGGCGCGCGCGCCCGGACCACGGCGCTCGCGCCCGGACCAAGGCGCGCGCGCCCGGACCAAGGCGCGCGCGCCCGGACCAAGGCGCGCGCGCCCGGACCAAGGCGCGCGCCCGGACCAAGGCGCGCGCGCCCGGACCAAGGCCCCACGCGCCCGGACCAAGGCGCGCGCGCCCGGACCAAGGCTTGCGCCCGGACCAAGGCGCGCGCCCGGACCAAGGCGCGCGCGCCCGGACCAAGGCGCGCGCCCGGACCAAGGCGCGCGCCCGGACCAAGGCGCGCGCCCGGACCAAGGCGCGCGCGCCCGGACCAAGGCGCGCGCGCCCGGACCAAGGCGCGCGCGCCCGGACCAAGGCGCGCGCCCGGACCAAGGCGCGCGCGCGGACCAAGGCGCACGCGCGGACCAAGGCGCGCGCCCGGACCAACGCGCGCGCCCGGACCAAGGCGCGCGCGCGGACCAAGGCGCGCGCGCGGACCAAGGCGCGCGCCCGGACCAAGGCGCGCGCCCGGACCTAGGCGCGCGCCCGGACCAAGGCGCGCGCGCGGACCAAGGCGCGTGCGCCCGGACCAAGGCGTGCGCCCGGACTAAGGCGCGCGCCCGGACCAAGGCGCGCGCCCGGACCAAGGCGCGCGCGCGGACCAAGGCGCGCGCGCGGACCAAGGCGCGCGCGCGGACCAAGGCGCGCACGCGGACCAACGCGCGCGCCCGGACCAACACGCGCGCGCGGACCAAGGCGCGCGCCCGGACCAAGGCGCGCGCCCGGACCAAGGCGCGCGCGCCCGTACCTGCGCGCGCGCGCGGACCAAGGCGCGCGCACGCGGACCAAGATGCGCGCCTGGAGCAAGGTGCTCGCGTGGAGCAAGGCGCTCGCGTGGACCAACGCGCGCGCGCGACCAAGGCGCGTGCGCGGACCAAGGCGCGCGCGCGGACCAAGGCGCGCACCCGGACCAATGCGCGTGCGCGAACCAAGGCGCGCGCCCGGACCAAGGCGCGCGCCCGGACCAAGGCGCGCGCCCGGACCAAGGCGCGCGCGCCCGAACCTAGGCGCGCGCCCGGACCAAGGCGCGCGCGCCCGGACCGGCGCGCGCGCGCGGACCAAGGCGCGCGCACGCGGACCAAGATGCGCGCCTGGAGCAAGGCGCTCGCGTGGACCAAGGCGCGCGCGCGGACCAAGATGCGCGCGCGCGGAGCAAGGCGCTCGCGTGGAGCAAGGCGCGCGCGCGGACCAAGGCGCGCGCGCGGACCAAGGCGCGCGCCCGGACCAAGGGGCGCGCCCGGACCAAGGCGCGCGCCCGGACCAAGGCGCGCGCCCGGACCAAGGCGCGCGCCCGGACCAAGGCGCGCGCCCGGACCAAGGCGCGCGCGCGGACCAAGGCGCGCGCCCGGACCAAGGGGCGCGCCCGGACCAAGGCGCGCGCCCGGACCAAGGCGCGCGCCCGGACCAAGGCGCGCGCCCGGACCAAGGCGCGCGCCCGGACCAAGGCGCGCGCGCGCGAACCAAGGCGCGCGCCCGGACCAAGGCGCGCGCGTGGACCAAGGCGCGCGCGCGCGGACCAAGGCGCGCGCACGCGGACCAAGATGCGCGCCTGGAGCAAGGCGCTCGCGTGGACCAAGGCGCGTGCGCGGACCAAGGCGCGCTCGCACCAAGAGTGTAGCTCTCACCTCCATGCACCCGAAATGCAACCTTCTTCCCACCCACACTCCCCAACCAAGGCAACGCACGTCAATGCCGGAGATGCTGCGCACGCCGTAGCGGAACCACAGCGCCCACACGAGCTCGCGAATGACGGTGTAACGGTGCTCGTACCCACATGTACCCGCAATGCACCCCCCGCTTCCCCCCTCGCCCACCTACCCAAGGTAGAAAACGCACATCAATGCCGGAGATGCTGCGCACGCCGTAGCGGAACCACAGCGCCCACACGAGCTCGCGAATGACGGTGTTGAGCCCGGGGCACAGCCCCCCGCATGTGACTATGGCTGCTCGCACGTCCTGCGGCTGAAAGGCCACCTGTTGTGAGGTGCAAGGGAGCGAGAGGGAAGGGGAAGGGGAGGTTGGGCGGCAAGGAAAAGGGGCAAGGGAGGGAGGGATGACGGTGTTGAGCCCGGGGCACAACCCGCCACACGTCACTATGGCTGCCCGCACGTCCTGAGGCTGGAAGGCCACCTGTGGGGTGAGGGAGGGGAGGGGGAGAAGGGAGGGCGGAATGACCGTGTTGAGCCCAGGGCAGAGCCCGCCACATGTGACAATCGCCGCCCGCACGTCCTGCGGCTGGAAGGCCACCTGAAGGGGGGTGCAAGGGGGAGGGGGGGAAGGGGAAGAGGAGGTTGGGCGGCAGGGAAGCAGGCAAGGGAGGGAGGGATGGCCGTGCTGAGCCCGGGACAGAGACCACTGCACGTCACAATTCTTCCCCCCATCCACCTCCCCCTCTCCCCACCCCCCTCTCCCCCCCTCCCCTCCCCTCCCCTCCCTTCCCCACCCTCCCCCTCCCTCACCTGCTCGCGTGGCCCGGAGCGTCGGAAGACTCGAATGTCGTCCACACTGCCCGTTTTGATGAGCGCCTGGCAAAATAAAATCAGTTGATGTGCGGGTGTTGCGGGGGGAGAAACGGGGAGAGGGGGAAGGGGGGTCGTAAGAGCGTCGGAAGACACGAATGTCGTCCACACTGCCCGTCTTGATGAGCGCCGGGCAAGGTAGGGGGGAATTGCAGGTGTGGGAAAGGGCAGGTGTGGATGGGTGTGCGGGTTGAGAGGGGGGCCTGTTGAGAGGCCGTCGGAAGACTCGAATGTCGTCGACACTGCCCGTCTTGATGAGCGCCTGGTCGCGGGGTGGGAGGGGTGCGCGGGAAGTGTGGGGAGGTGTGGGAAGGCGTGGGGAGGCGTGGGGAGGCGTGGGGGAGTTGTGGGGGTGAGGGGGAGTCGTAGGAGTGTCGGAAGACTCGAATGTCGTCCACACTGCCCGTCTTGATGAGCGCCTGGCGTGGTGGGCGGGGACGCGCGGGCGGGGGTTCGAGGGGTGGTAGTGTGGGCACGCAATGGCATCACTTCTCAAAGAGAGTGTGGGCAGGCGGAGCGAGCACGAAGGGGCAGGGGGCGAGGAGGGAGGACGGAGGAGAGGATGGGTAGACGGCGGGACAGGGAGGGAGAAACGGAGGGAGGACGAGATGTATGCATGCATGAGTGGCAGCTAATGCAGCATGCAACGGAGCGAGGCACGCACCTTCTGGCACACAACATCCTCGCTGTCCACAAAGTAGTTGATTTTGAGAATTCTCAAAATCAACCTCAAACAGAATTCTCAAAATCAACCTCAAACAGAATTCTCAAAATCAACCTCAAACAGAATTCTCAAAATCAACCTCAAACAGAATTCTCAAAATCAACCTCAAACAAAAAGCGAGGCACGCACCTTCTGGCACACGACGTCCTCGCTGTCCACGAAGTAGTTCCTGGTGGGCGCGGATGGGCGAGGAACGGAGGGAGATGGGGAGGAGCGGAGGGGTAAAATGGGGAGAAGCGGAGGGGTAAAATGGGGAGTGCGGAGTGGCCATGGGAAACAGAGGAGCCCAGTCACAGCACAATTCACTTCCACAATGGATGTCACAATGTGATGTGTGCTTTTGCACCCTCGTGCAGTGCAGAACAGCAGCACCGGAATGGTATGGAAAGGCGCAGAACGGTAGGGATGGGCACAGAATGGTCGGGAAACCACGGGATCATAATGCTTACTCGGGTCGATTAGGGCTTCGAAGTAGCGGATTACTGTTCATCTGCGATGGAGTGATGACACGGACGAAGAGAGACGCGCAGAACGAGAACGAGAGATGAAGATAAGAGACAGAAAGTGAGTAAGCCCACGCAGGAGTCCATTCCGAGGTTCGAGGTCCAGTACGAGCGGTGGAAAAAAAAAAAAAAAAAGACAAAAGACAAAACAAAAACAAAAACACCAGCATTGCAAAAATGCGCACCTGCAGGTCAGGAATCCATTCGGAAATGTGCGGAACGTCGTCGAGAATCACGGCGGACCGAATTCCCATCACTCTGTCTTGCTGCCTGTCTCGCCTCGCAAAGCGACTGGAATCGGAGCAGTTTATACCGCGTCCGTTTTGACGGCGCGACGACCGTAGATTAGTCGCTCTTTGACTCCATCCTCCCGCGCGGCTCCACGCGATCTGATTCGCTATAGGATGACTGGAATTGGAATCTGCGGTCAGGTTCCTGGAGGAGCTAATATGGAGAGCAGGATAGTGCAAGGCACCGTGACTTAGCGCTGAAGCGCTGCAAGAAGCCATGGCTGGCTGTCAAGTTGGAAAGATAAGGAGTAAAAAAACTGTTTTTTACAGTGATACACGAGCTGCGACAGTCACAGTGAGCCCTAATGCAGTGGTGATAACGTGCTCCGCGATTATCTCGTCGCAAAGCTGAGCCAGTTCCAGCCAGCCACGTCGCAAGTTCCAGCCAGACACGTCCTAACAGTCAAGCGATTCGTTACAATGTGTCTGGCAGTCACAACGAGTGGCCACTACACATGTGCCAGTCACTAAGACTCGTTGGTATTCCCAAGGTTTCAGGGGCACAGATACCGTCTAACAGGTTCGAGCCGCCAAAAGCTGACTTTGGTACCCCATTTTTAGCTAGAGCCGTTTCTACACTGTGGGATAGGGTCACTTGACTCACTGCGATTCGTTAGTACGTCGCTGGTACTCCCAAGGTTTCAGGAGGGAGATCTGACAGCAAGACAAGTTTCTTGCAGCAGGAGACTGTGCAGTGTGCCCCTTTCAGCTTCGCTAACTCTTTCCGGGGCAATAACGCGTCACGCATTGCTGATTGATTTGAAGTGATAATGCAAATACGAGGATACAACGTAGCTGAAACAGTTATCATTGTGCATGACATAAAAATGGGCCAATTTTGGCCGCTGTGGTGTTTGAAATGACATACAATAAACACGCTGTATGCTAGGAACTACCGTAAGTGGATGAGTGGCAATTGGAGATCACACTTCTACAAAAGAGCAAGGTTGGGGACAATTCAAGCAACAGGGAGTACAACAGCTTTTCAAGCAGCCACCTGGGCAGCAGCAGAGACTGGGAGTGATGCAACAGCAGCAGAAACGTCCTTGGCATCGATACCAGCAAGGCTGCCGGTTGCAGATGCGACGACTGTGCACTTGCGGTCAGCAGCATTGGGGACGAACCGAGCAGCCTTGTCAGATGAGCCAAAGAGAGCAACACTGGAGAAAAGAAAATGACAGAAAACAAATGGGGAACAGAAGAGCAACATACGGTAAGTATCGTCCATACCCTGCATTCTTCTTTTTGTAAGCCTTGCAGGTACAAAACTTCGAAGTCCTAACGAACTTTACCTTGGCTTTCTGAGAGCGGTGGCGAGTTGCACGGCAGCAGTGTTGGTTGTGACGACCGCAGCCGCATCGTCAATGGCAGCAGCGAGCTGCAGTCGTGGGGGAGCCAAGAGAGGGTGTGAAGAGGGTCATGGGCGGGAGCAGCAGGTGAGGTGACGGAAAAAGAGAAATGCCACAGTAAGCATACACCTTGGTGTGAGATTGAGATGTCATGTACTGCTGCTGGGAAAGCAGCAAGTAATGAGAATAACAACCCATACTCCAGGTGACTGTATATTGTTGACAAGAGTAGAAGTCTTGCTGTTTACACAGCTTTCCAAATTTCCTTCCATTAATTGCTTTCCAATCCTGCATACTTTTAAAAGCAACCTCGATGCTTTGAGTCTCCGTACCCCATGCATGCCATGCCTTGTGCACACCATGCCCCCATGTGCCTGCCATACCCCTCCCTCTTGCCCCCTGCGTGCCATACCCCATGAACATCATTTGCTGTGCGTGCCACTGCCATACCTGTCCCGTTTTGAGACGTCTCAAAAACGCGTGCCACTGGCATACCTGTCCCGGGGTGGTGATCTTGACGACCTTGGCCGAAGGCACAGCGCTCTGCACCTGCACACCACACTTAGTGCACGCCATACCCCCATGTGCCATCGCGTCATTTGATGTGCATGTCACTGCCATGCCATACCTGGCCCGGGGTGGTGATCTTGACAACCTTGGCCGAGGGCACAGCGCTCTGCACTTTGCCTTGATCCGCGTCATTGGGCACCACCACCAGCAGGTCGCCACTGGTGTGGGGGAGAAAGAGAGGGGACGGGAGGCGGAGAGGGGCGGACGAGTGGGAAGGAAGAGGGGAAGGGGCAAGGAAGTGGGAGGGAGAGAATTAGTGACTCGGCACAGCGCTCTGCACCTTGCCTTGATCCGCGTCATTGGGCACCACCACCAGCAGGTCGCCGCTGCAATGACCGAGAAGGGAGGAGAGGGGAGGAGATGGGAGAGGCGGGTAGGGGAGAGGGTAGTGGGAGGGAGAAAATCAGTGACTCGGTACAATGCTGCGCACCTTGCCTCGGTCCGCATCGTTGGGCACCACCACCAGCAGGTCGCTGCTGGGGTGGGGGAGAAGCGAGAATAGGGGAGGAGTGGGCAGGGGAGAGGGGACCGGATATGCAAGTGGGAGGGAGAGAAAGAGTGACTCGGCTCGGCACAGCACTCTGGACCTTGCCTTGGTCCGCATCGTTGGGCACCACCACCAGCAGGTCGCCGCTGGGTTGAGGGGGAAGCGTTGAGAGGGGAGGCGGAGAGAGGAGGAGGGGAAGTGGGTAGGGGATAGAGGAAGAAATTTGAGGTGAGAGGTGAGAGGGGAAGGGATGAGGAAGCGGGAGGGAGAAAGATATGGCGCAGCACTGTGCACGTTGGCCTGATGAGCAGCATTGGGGATGTGACCACCACCCACTAGCAAAACACTCAGCAAGTAGCCCCACAGACAGGGCACAGATTCCCGACCCACCACCTTGGTCATTTCAGTGAGCCCCACCATTTTGCACGCCTCTTACGCACCCCACCGGCACACACCAACCCAGCACTCCTGTCACGCACTTCACCCTCTTGTCGATCAGCACACATCACCACCACTGCATCATCCCTCTCGCGCACCTCACGCTCTTGGCGATTTCAGCGAGCAACACTGTTTCGCAGCCCTCTTACGCACCCCACTGGCACACAGCAACCCAGCACACTCCTGTCACGCACTTCACCCTCTTGTCGATCAGCACACATCACCACCACTGCATCATCCCTCTCGCGCACCTCATGCTCTTGGCGATTTCAGCGAGCAACACTGTTTCGCAGCCCTCTTACGCACCCCACTGGCACACAGCAACCCAGCACACTCCTGTCACGCACTTCACCCTCTTGTCGATCAGCACACATCACCACCACTGCATCACACACACCCCTCTCATGCACCTCACGCTCTTGGCGATTTCAGCAAGCAGTGTCTGTCAGAGACAGCGCTCTGTCAGCATCCCCGCGCGAGCGCATGGAGGCGGCGGAAGAGGACTCCATGCTGCGCACCAACGTGTACGCGCCCGCCCTCATCCCTTCCTGTGCCCAATGCCCACTCACCACGACCGCCTAAAGCCCCTCACACGCACCTCACGCTCTTGGCGATTTCAGCGAGCAGAGTGAGGGAAAGAGCGCTGTCGGTGTCCCCGCGTGAGCGCATGGATGCAGCAGACGAGGACTCGACCCCATGCACCAGCGTGTACGCGCCTGCCGCCACCCCTCCCCCCCTGTGCCCAACGCCCGTGAACACATCACCGCTGCCTACACCCCTCCCACTCTCGTCACGCACCTCACGCTCTTGGCGATTTCGGCGAGCAGTGCAAGCGACAGCGCGCTGTCGGTATCCCCACGTGAGCGCATGGATGCAGCAGAAGAGGACTCCACGCCGTGCACCAGCGTGTACGCGCCCGCCGCCACCCCCGCCGCGGCCGTCTTCTCGCGCATCACCTCGCGCACCTTGCGCGGCAGGTTCACCTGCAGGGCCGGCAGGTGCAGCGCCGGGCCTCCCCGCACTGGCTCCAGGAGGAACTCGACCAGATCCTTGTACCTGCGGGCGGGTGGGGGGATGGGAAGGGGGGGAACGGGTTAGGGTGGGGTCACCTCGCGCACCTTGCGCAGCAGGTTCACCTGCAGGGCCGGCAGGTGCAGGGCTGGGCCCCCGCGCACCGGCTCCAGGAGGAACTCGACCAGATCCTTGTACCTGCGGGCGGGTGGGGGGAGGGGGGGAGGTGGGGCGCGGAGGGAGGTGGGCGGAAGGGGTTGAGGGGGAGATCCTTCGGAGAGAGTGCCTGGCAGGGAGTGTGCTGACCCCCCACGCACCGGCCCCAGGAGGAACTCCACCAAATCCTTGTACCACAAGGGGAGGGGGAAGAAGGGTGTGGGAGGGAGGGAGAGGAGGAATGTGGTAGTGAGGGGGGAGATTGTTTGAAAAAAGTGCCTGGCAGGAAGAGCGGCGGGCCCCTGCGCACCGGCTGCAGGAGAAACTCCGCCAGTACCTTGTACCTGGGGAAGAGGGGAGGGGAGGGCTTGTTGGACGTTGAGGGGACGGAGTTGGGGGCGGAGTGGGGGGCGGGGTGTTGGGAGGAAGGAGAGGGAGGGAAAACGCTTTGGAAGAGTGCCTGGCAGGAGGAGCATGGAAACGCCGCACAGGGTGGCTGTAACAGCGTGCAATGCAGCACCCGGCGATGCAACATTGTACGTCATAAAAAATTGGGCTGTTAAAGCTCAAGGCCCAAATTGCGGGCCGCGCTGGGCAAGATTACTAATCTTGCGCAGCTGTTGTTTGGGTTGCGAG